GACGGGAGAGATCATGACCGCATCGAACCCCATTCCCTGGATGTAATCCAGATGGTCAATCGTTCCTCGCCATGTCCCTCCGCAGCGAATGTTCTCGGACGCCACGCATCGCGCTGTCGTCGACCCGTCAGTGCGAGCGAACCGATCCGTCATGGTCTGATAAATGGCTCTGGGTTTCCATTGCGCCGTGTTTGCTGCGAGCGACGAGGCGACCAGGAGGGAAAGAGAAAGGATGTGCATGCATCGCCGTGATATCCAAGGCGAACTCATGGTCGGAACATTGATCTGAAGGCTGACTCAGTGATGGGGTATGATGCAACAAATGGTGATGTGCTGATCCAAGCTTGGCACGACGGTGTCTCGTTTGGATTGAAATCCTGAAGTCCCACAACAGAATCGAATTATCCGTGATTTGGCAAGTTCCAGACACGTTGATGCAATATGTTGACGTGATAGGGAATAATTTTCGTCGAGACTTCTCAGAACCGCTGGTGCAGGCTAGAATGGCGACGAGGGCTAGAATATTAGAGAATAAAGACGAAAGAACAATGAACTTGTAGGAATAAACTCAAAATAGCGAGGGACGACAGGGTAAAGAACGACAGGCCTGATCGCAGGCAGGATATAGAACGAATGACGATGGTAGGAGAAGGAAGAGACAGAGATTAAACAGGGCCAACGAGAGAAGCAGCAAGAAAGGGCCTGGAACGCAAGATTGAAGGGAGTAGCGAGAGAGAGGGGAGGAAACACAAAGGAGAAGTCAGGCGGGAAGGGTTTCCTGCTTTGCTGCAGAAACTTTAGATTAAAAGAGTGGAATTGTGGGGGAAGCCATCAGAACCATTCCTCTAGTGATTCTAGTCTATCCATTTTTCTCCAGGATTTTCCTTGGTGAATGGCCGATGATGGACATGTGATCTTTTGGCCAGAGTGGAGGTTGTTGTTGTATTGCCTCTTCAGTCTTTCTTTTACATAGCAAGGTACTTGCATGTGTTCGATTTGATCTCTACCGAAGTTACTCCCTAAAGGTACAATCCAGACTGCGGTGCCTGGTACCTGCGTTTGTGAGGACATGTCCTGGGTCTTCTGGGTACAACCCGCACATAGCCGGACCAGACCATGAATGACCACTTGACCAGTATATAGTCTTAAGCTATGTTGCTTCGGAGCACCTCCGCAGAATTAGAATAGATCTTTAACTTCATGAGCACCTGAAGAAACTAGACAGAAGCACTGGATTGATAGTATTTAATAATATAGGATAACCTGATGATTATTGTTGATTGTCCTCGTGAGGGGCCCTCTGTCTTAAGTTCCTTGCATTATTCATGAACCACTGATTGTCCAATGGCAGATCCTCTCCACATCAGGAGATCAGAGCGGCACTTCCAGTCCGAATTCGGGGCGGGTTCTCAGTCGTCCATATGGCTCAAGTGCCGCGCCCACATTTCCTCTTGTGGCTAGGCAGTTCCCCTATGCCGCCTTATTCGACACATCCAAGTCATTATTCTCACACGACGATCAAATAATAGTCTACTACTACATCGATACTACATACTCCAGATGCAGCATGTCAGTGGCTGGAGTGCGGTGATGTCCACAGTGGCGAGAAGTACTTGGTACCTGACTTGACCCGAGTGCTTAGCTGCGTCGGAGCCCTGAAGTCTGACCATCTTGATGGGAGTCAATCAGGGGAGAAAGCTTTACAGTCGTGTCGTGTCACACAAGGAATCTCATCGTCACATGAGTTTAAGCGCACCATTGTGGGATGGAGATGTCCAGGAACAAAAACATTGGCTAAAAAGGAGGAAAGGGGAGTATTAACATGGAGTAATAATAACTTGGAAGGAAGCAGTCGAGTACTTGGATGTGATCTCACCATAATATTATTAAGACAAGAAACATGTCTCAGACGATCAGTCATAGGCAGTCTTGATTAGGCATAGTTCTTTTGAGCCGATTTGAAATGAATGCAGTTAACTACTCTGTATGAGGAATATATATCTTGTGTGGTTCTTATTTTTCTACATATCTAGACTCTAGGGTGCTTGACATGATGATGCATCTCTATCACCTGTCATCAAAGAATGCGCATAATGATTGCCAAGTTGAGAATTCTGTCCCCCATTCTCGAAGTAGGCTAATGATCCTGATAGATACTGTATGAATACTAAGTTTGAACTATAATACAATACAATACCAGAAATATTAGATTGATGATTTGTCTACTCTCTGTATCAGCCTCCAAACTATGGAGGACTAGAGGTAATCATGGAGGTAATTTACCGTCTGTAACTGTCTCCGGTAAATGTATGGTAACGTACAGGTCCTGTTCTAGGAGATTCGGTTCCCAGACCCTTAGCTTCAAATAGTCTTAGCTAGCCAACCACGGAAAATTCTGAGCAATTATTAGCAAATGTCTTACAGAAGGATTCACCAGGCCCACTTCGGACCGATGCTCGGCTTCCTCCCGTCGATTCTTAACCAGAGATCTGGTATTTCAATCGCTGACATCCATGGTCCATCCTCTGTACCTGTCGACACTATGGGAAATTAAAACTGCAAACATTGCTTTTCAGCTGGAAAAGCCTTATGGAGTATGGATCGGAGTAGAGGAGAGTCGAGTCTGTGGCACCATCCTCGAAGTCAAGATACGAACAGACTTTGAGAGCTGCTAGTGTAAGAGACCAGGGTCTGGAGTTGACACTTTGACCGACTCCGACGCCACCGTCACGCCACGACGCACTAGTGAATTAGTCACCACTCACCAGCGCCCCTGATAACAATTCTATTGTTCCTTCGGATAGACCGTCCATGGCCCCGGGAGATCCAGTTGATAAACAATTTTTGCTCCAGATGGTTCATGAACATGAAGCCATGCCTCTATGAATGGACGTCTTTTCACATCGTATGCCGAGAAAAGAAACTCGATATAAACCTCATCTCTTGTAAAACTGAGCTACAGAGCTCTGAAGGCATCTTCTTAATTCATACAATAATATGACACGGACATCTGGCCCGATACGTCAAAGTGATGCAACCATAGCAAGATAACAGTCTTGGCAGACCTCGTTCTCACCATTCTCATTGGACTGCCCGAGCAGTAATGCCCCTGATGAAACCCGAGGATGCTGTTCAACCCCGTCGCTCGTCGCGATTCGTCGTTGTTGACCTGATAATGAGACAAGCGGACATCCATCGTCCAAGATATGTGCGCTGTCATCGCAGATTTGTGCGCCAAAGTCCAATAGGAAGCCTACTTCCTTTCCGGGACATTACTGTAAGACATTTGTTTCAATCTTTTATCCTCTGTTATCCTTCGTAGTGGACATGGTAGAGGACCTATTCCCTACAGTCTCAACCTTCAACCGACCAACTTCAACGAATTGAAGAAAAAGCCCACAGTCGCTCTATAGAATCAATAATGACTGGTATCAAGAACATAGACCCTCAGTTAAAGCAAAAAGTTTTCTCGTTCTTGGCGGAAAAAGTTGCACAAGCGGATCGCCCGGAAGGAATAGCCATTACCGATTATTTATAGTATCCGTATTGTCGCCCCGATCTGGTATTGAGAAGCGATTCAACGCCTTATAAGTGGCTTGAGCTCATTGGGCACAACGTAGGGTCCTAGGGCCAAATCGCAGACCAGACTCGAGGAAATCACCGTTGAGCTTCCACTCCATACCCACCCTGGCCCACGGAACAATCCATCGAAGGGTCTGTTGATGGGTCTTTTCACGATGTTACAGAGTAAGCTTTACGAGATGGAATGGCCTCTGTATTCGCCGAGAAATGCTGGGCTCACCGGATTTGCTTTTCTGCCTGTTTTTCTTTTCGGCAGCTCTGTTTCTTGGGATGGAGCATTCAGCTTTCAGCCGCTGTCCCCTCTTGTAAGATACTTTCCAAGAGTCCCAGCAGTCGGATTGGTTGTCTGCTGGGGCTCTGCCTTGTGGCTTTCTGGTCCACGACTTTTATCAACCGTGTAGTTAGACCGACACACGGTTCGAGCCGCTTACTTCCACGCTACAGGATCCAATATAGTAAAAAGGAAAATAAAGCAAAAAAGGAGAAGGAGAAAAAAAAAAGAGAAACGTGGGAACGAGAACAAGGGACCGTAATGATGGACGTGAAGAGGCGAAGAGAAGTCCATGAGATCTTATGTGGAGAGTAGGACAGCTCTTAAGTTGCAAGTAAGATAAGAAAGACATCATCACCATGTGCTGAAATAATCCCCTCTTTTGCCTGAATCCTCTTTGCTACTGCGTACTTCTACTTCCAATTTGATAACGGCTCTATTATCCAGTCTGCTGCAAAGACAAGTCGTAGCCTCTGGGAGGATCCGCATAATAATAGGAGAGGATAGTGTAGGAGCAGAGCAGAGCGACAAGATACTACTATCTGCACTAATCCCATCACCATCTTAGCTCGTCATGATATTAATAGTCTATTGACTGCAATTTCACTTGGTCAGTGTGTCTGTCTGTCTTGTCTGAGTATTATTATTTCCGCCATTGAGACCCCGATTATTTGTTTGATCTCTTTTCTTTTTTAGAAACTTTGATCCTCCTCGTTTTCTTCGTTTATTCCTATCCTCAATCCTCCTCAACTCCCCTCCTCCTCCTCCTCCTCCTCCTCTTTCTGTCTCTCGTTGTCTGTCGTTTCTGTCGTTTCAGCTTTTTTGGAGAGGAATACTCACTTGCTTCCCATCCAGCCTTTCGTTTCGTCGGTTGTGCTACATTTTCTCAACCCGCCGTTATCGCCTTTGTCGATCGCTCGTTATCAGTACAAACAAGCAGCTCATCCGACATCCACGATTCAAAACGGACAACGAAGAAAAAGTTGCAGGAGAAATTCGGCATAATCAGAACTGAAAGTCGCCAAAAGAGCACATTGTACATTTAACGATATTCATATTGTGATACCCCTCCCGTGCATGGGTCGATTCCCACAGATTCTTATCCACCGCATTGCTCAGAAGCAGCGAACAGAATCCACCACCCACGATGAAGTGGGGATGGACCGGGGCGTTGCTGGCCTGGTTTGTGACAACCGCATCATGCTGGCCGTACGACGAGAACCTGGTCAAATACAACCTCAATGAGAATAAAACCGCCACAAACCCGGCGGAGTACTGGGGAGAATGGCCGGACCATAAGGGCAAATACTTCCCCTCCCCGGAGAACTGGCGGTTTCCCTTTTATACCCTGTTTTTGGATCGATTCGTGAACGGTGACCCGGAGAACGATAATATCAACGGGACCCAGTTCGAGCATGATATCAGCTCCAACCAGATGCGTCATGGTGGTGATGTCGCGGGTTTGGTCGCTACTTTGGACTATTTACAGGGAATGGGGATCAAAGTGAGTTTTTTCGGCTTGATTGTGATATCTGGCGGAAACGAGATGCTGACTCTGACAGGGCATCTATCTGGCTGGAACGGCCCTCATGAACCAGCCTTGGGGCGCGGATGGTTACTCTGCATTGGATACAACGCTTTTGGATCAGCATTTTGGTGACATTGCAACCTGGCGCAATGCGATCACTGAGATCCACAATCGGGGGATGTATGTGGTATTCGATAACACTATTGCTACGTAAGTCTTCCCAGACCTCATTCTCTGCGTCCGGACTGACACAATACAAGCCTCGGTGATCTCATCGGCTTCGAAGGCTACCTCAACACCACCACCCCATTCTCGGTCAAGGAGCACAAGGCGTTGTGGAAAACCGATCGCCGCTACGTAGACTTTGACATCGGCAACGACTACAACGCGACGTGCGATTACCCCCGTTTCTGGTACGAAGACGGTCTTCCGCTTCCCGCGGACCAGGCCGATCAGCTGGTGGGCTGCTACAACAGCGATTTCGATCAGTACGGCGATATTGAAGCTTTCGGTGTGTTCCCGGATTGGAAGCGTCAGCTGGCCAAGTTCGCGTCCGTGCAGGATCGTCTGCGAGAATGGGTTCCTAGCGTGCGAGAGCGGCTGATCCGTCACTCCTGCATAATCATCGCCTCCTTGGATATCGACGGTTTCCGGTACGATAAAGCCACCCAGGCGACGGTCGATGCGCTCGGCGAGATGTCCATGGCGTACCGGGAATGTGCCCGCGCCGTGGGCAAGAACAACTTCTTCATCTCCGGAGAAATTACCGGTGGTGATTACTTCGGTTCCATCTACCTCGGACGAGGCAGGCAGAAAAACCAGTGGCTCTCTGATTTCTCCCAGGGCCCTAAGATGACGAATGAGTCTGGTGCCCAAAATTTCCTGCGTGAGGCCGGCCATGAAGCCCTTGATAGTGCTGCATTCCACTATTCCGTCTACCGATCCCTTACCCGTTTCCTTGGGATGGACGGTAATCTCGCTGCGGGTTATGATGTCCCTCTGGATTGGGTCAAGATGTGGCAACAGATGCTGCAGTCGAACGACTTCGTCAATGCGAACACGGGCAAATTCGACCCCCGCCACATGTACGGTGCGACCAACCAGGATGTCTTCCGGTGGCCAACTTTGCAGTTGGGTGTTGAGCGGCAGTTGTTGGGTAGTTATATCACGACAATGCTCCTTCCCGGTATCCCTCTATTGCTCTGGGGTGAGGAGCAGGCCTTCTATGTGCTTGATGCCACCGCTACCAACTATATTTATGGTCGTCAGGCCATGTCCCCTGCAACCGCCTGGAGAGACCATGGCTGCTTCAGTATGGACTCCTCGCAGTACTACCATTGGCCGATTGATTCTGGCCGGAAAGGTTGCCAAGATGAAACAGTCGCCTATGACCATCGGGACCCTTCCCACCCTGTGCGCAATATCCTTAAGCATATGTATCAGTTGCGTGAGCAATATCCCGTTCTCAATGATGGCTATACCCTGAACAAATTGTCCAACTCGACCACGCCAATACACTACCCGGGTTCCAACGAAACTGCCACTGAGACGGGCATGTGGTCTGTGAGTCGCGAGCCCGATCTTGATGCGAAGCAGGATTTCGGCTCGGATGCGAAGAACTCGCCTGTCTGGATGGTCTACCAGAATTACAACCAAACGATCGATTACAAGTTCAATTGTACCGATCCAGAGCATGCTTTGATCGCTCCCTACCCTGCCAACACCGTCGTCCAGAACTTGTTTTACCCCTTCGATAACCTCACATTGACCACCGGCCCGTCTCAACGAACTTTTGGAAATGAAACATTGTTTGAAGGTTGTTATGGCAATCTGACCCTCAAAGCATTCGAGTTCCGGGCCTACGTACCGCAGAAGTGGCATGTCATGCCTCGCCCGATGATCACCGGCTTCGAACCTGGCCATGACTATCCCGTTCCTTCCACTGTGAAGCCTGACGCGTCTGAGAATGTGCCCATTAAGCTGTATTTCTCCGAGCCGATGGATTGCGATGGGATCACCAAGTCTATTTCCCTGACCTCCTCCACCGAGTCACTACAAATTCCGTCCATCGACTCCGGCTCCGTCTCTTGCCAGATTCTTACCAACATTACCACCAAGTGGACTGCTCAGATCCCTAGCCGCTTCATGTGGTCGGCAAATTTGACCAATGTCTACAACGGTATCCACCAAATCACTGTGAAGGAACCTAAGACTAGCAGCGGCAGCGCCTCCACCAACGCCACCGACCACTTCCTTTTCCGCATCGGCCAGGTCGATAATCCGATGGTCTTCACCAAGGCCAACTACTCGACTAGTTTGCTTCATGAGTATGATAACGGGACTCTGTACATCCAGCACCACGCCGCAGGCGCGGATAAATACCGCTACTCGACCAACTGGGGCACGACCTGGTCGAGCTGGACCAAGTACCATGGCGGTAACGACACCATTCAGGAAATGGAGTGGCACGGCACCAAAGAACAGCAGTGGGAAGGCAAACACGTCCGCGTGGAATATTGGAGCGGCTTGACCGGTAGCAGCGACTACTACCAAGAAGGCGATGTGGGCTGGAACCATAATGTGCCCCGTCGATTCCCGCATATCCATTTCAACGGTCCTTTTAACCAGTTTGGTTACGATGGCGGCCTTCCCAACAAGCTCAAGCTAGACACCACCAGTGGACGATGGAAGTACCACTTTACCTACGAGTGGCCCGCACGGGCACAGATCAACGTTTGGGGGATCAACCCGGATGGTAGCCCGGACCAGAGCTGGGTTCTGGGCGACGTCGACGGTGACCACGTCCTGGACCGAATGCCCCCATCATCTCTATCGGCTACCATGATCAATATCACCGATCCTCCGCCGTCACCTCATCTCTCATGGATTATCTCTATCAACGACGCGACCATGCGCTATACGCTGGAAGGTGCCGGAGACCAAACAACGCAGATGGCCATGTACATTCTCTTCTGGATTGTGCCCCTGCTCACAGGCGTGGCTTGCGTGTACGTCTTCATGAAATCCTTCTACCAGGTCAAGTTCAACCAGGTCGGTGTCAGCGAGAAGCGCACGCTCATTCCACTGGCCCTCCGGCGAAAGCTGAAGCGTGCTCGCAACGGCGAAGGCGAGGCAATGAACCCCTTGATGCGTCTGGCCAACAAGTCCGGTTTCCTTCAGAGCTCGACGGATCTTGCGGCCGGCCCTGCAGCTTCCAAGCGCCGCATGGTGCTCATTGCCACCATGGAATATGATATTGAGGACTGGGCCATCAAGATCAAGATCGGTGGTCTCGGTGTTATGGCTCAGTTGATGGGAAAGACTCTCGGCCATCAGGATCTCATCTGGGTCGTTCCTTGCGTCGGCGGAGTGGATTACCCTGTTGACCGGCCAGCGGAACCCATGGTCGTCACCATCCTGGGCAAGCCATATGAGGTCCAGGTGCAGTACCACACTTTGCAAAATATCACCTACGTTTTGCTGGATGCGCCGGTTTTCCGTCAGCAGACCAAGTCAGAACCCTACCCACCACGTATGGATGACCTCGACAGTGCCATTTACTATTCCGCGTGGAACCAGTGCATTGCTCAGACGATCAATCGGTTCCCCATTGACCTTTATCATATCAACGATTACCACGGATCCCTGGCACCTCTCTACCTCCTGCCGCAAACAATCCCCGCCTGTCTGTCTCTACACAACGCCGAGTTCCAGGGTCTCTGGCCCATGCGGACCGAGAAGGAAAAGGAAGAGGTTTGCTCCGTCTTCAACCTAGATAAAGAAATCACCCGTCGATACGTCCAATTTGGTGAGGTTTTCAATCTGCTCCACGCCGGTGCCAGTTATCTGCGTGTCCACCAGCAAGGATTCGGTGCTGTCGGTGTGTCCAAGAAATACGGTAAACGGTCGTACGCTCGGTATCCCATCTTCTGGGGCCTCAAGAAGGTCGGCAACCTGCCCAACCCCGATCCATCGGATGTTGGCGAGTGGAACAGGGAAAAGGCCCTCGTCAAGGGTGAGGACCCGCCTGTCGATACGGAATTCGAAGCTGGTCGCGCGGAGCTCAAACGCCAGGCTCAAGAATGGGCTGGCCTGGAGCAGAACCCGGACGCTGATCTTCTCGTGTTTGTTGGTCGATGGTCCATGCAGAAGGGTGTGGATCTGATTGCGGATGTCATGCCTGCTGTTCTTGAGGCTCATCCTAACGTCCAGCTGGTCTGTGTCGGCCCTGTCATCGATCTGTACGGCAAGTTCGCTGCCCTGAAGCTGGATCGTATGATGAAGGTCTATCCCGGCCGCGTCTTCTCTCGTCCTCAGTTCACTGCTCTGCCCCCCTACATCTTCTCTGGTGCTGAATTCGCTCTCATTCCCTCTCGTGACGAACCCTTCGGTCTGGTCGCCGTCGAATTCGGCCGTAAGGGTGCTCTCGGTATCGGTGCTCGCGTCGGTGGTCTCGGTCAGATGCCTGGTTGGTGGTATAACGTGGAGTCAATGACCACTGCCCATCTGCTCCATCAGTTCAAGCTGGCGATAGACGGTGCCTTGAACTCGAAGCCAGAAGTCCGTGCTAAGATGCGTGCTCGTTCAGCCAAGCAGCGGTTCCCTGTCGCTCAATGGATTGAGGATCTCGAGATCCTGCAGTCTACATCCATCCGAATCCATAACAAGGAAGCCTCCAAGTCCAGCAATCGTCCCGTGACCCCTACCGGTCCCATGACACCTCGCGGACTGGGTGCTATGAGCCCTAGCCTACCTGGTAGTGGAACTCAGACCCCTGTTGGCATGCACTCTCGCGAAGCCAGCTACGTGAACCTGAGGCAATTAGCAGAGATTGGCCCACAGCAGCGCGACACCATCATTTCCTACAGCAACAACGCTGGCCGGGAGATGACTGAGAAACCTGCTCCGGGATTAAGTCGTAAACTGTCGCTTGGTGTCCGTTCCGGCCCTGGTCATCTCAACCGTCCTGGTCGGCGTGGACAGCAGGACCTCGCTCCCCCTGATCACAGAGATGGCGGTGATGTTTCCGATATCGAGGAGGAGAGTGACGATGACTTCATTGACCACTACTACGGTGATGACGAATATACTCTCACGCCCGAGCAGGCCGAGGAAGGCCGACGACTCCAGAACAATCCCCAGTCCCAAAGTGGACGTGCGACTCCAAGAGAACTTACGCGCTCCGTCCAATTCCCCTCGAGCCCATCCATTCATTCTGACATGGGCCTTGCTCCCCCCACCCGGCCATTCCTGGAAGCTGGCAGTCGTCTGAGCAGTGCCTCGGTGCTGTCCGTCGATTCCATCGTTGGTGACAAGAAGGACTTCAAGCTGCAAAAAGTGGATCCTTTCTTCACGGATAGCCATGGCGACTACGCTCGCTTGTTCGAAAAGAGTCTGGACAGCTTGAACGGGGCCAACTCCGAGACGCAGCTCTGCATTGAAGAGTTCCTGGTCAAGAGTGAAAAGGAATTGTTCGACAAGTTCCGCGATGCCAAGCTGGGTCGTCTGAACTCGCCCGCTCCATCTGTCTTCCGTGGTAAGCGCGGTCCTTCGCCTGTGGATTCCTACTACGGGGATGAGGCCTCGTCGCGTATGAGTCCGGATGATGAGCAGTCCCAGGAAGATGACGAATTTCTCCTAGGCAAGGACTACGTTCCTCCGACCGGTCTGCGCAAGTGGATGCAGCTGCGCATCGGAGACTGGCCAGTCTATTCCCTCTTGTTGGGCCTGGGCCAGATCATCGCCGCCAATTCGTACCAGATCACCTTGCTGACCGGCGAGGTTGGTCAAACCGCGGAGAAGCTGTACGGAATTGCGACCACCTACCTGATTACCTCGATTCTGTGGTGGTTCGTCTTCCGCTACTTCAAATCCATCGTCTGTCTCTCTGTCCCCTGGTTCTTCTACGGTGTGGCATTCCTTCTCATTGGCCTCGCCCATTTCGAGCATGATGAGTTCACCCGGGGATGGATCCAGAACGTCGCCAGTGGCTTCTATGCGGCCGCTTCCTCCAGCGGGTCGATTTTCTTCGCCCTCAACTTTGGTGATGAAAGCGGTGCGCCGGTCAAGGAATGGGTCTTCCGTGCCTGTGTCATCCAGGGCACGCAGCAAGCTTATGTCATTGCGCTGTGGTACTGGGGGTCAACGCTCACCAAGGCCTCGAGCCAGGGCCTCCTCACCTCCGAGAACAACATCGCCAACACCTGGAAGATGACCGCCATCTGTGTCCCGATTACCATGTTCCTGTGGGGCGTTGGTCTTCTTATGTTCTATGGCCTTCCCAACTACTACCGCCAGAGCCCTGGCAAGGTTCCATCCTTCTATCGCTCGGTGTTCCGCCGCAAGATTGTCCTCTGGAACTTTGCCGTCGTCATCATCCAAAACTTCTTCCTCAGTGCCCCTTACGGTCGCAACTGGAATTGTAAGTCCACTTCATTTGTCAGATAAATCGAGATACTGATGCCTGTTACAGTCCTCTGGAGTTCAAATCACGCAAAGACCTGGCAGATCGTCATTCTCTGCATTGTCTTCTTCGGTTTCGTCTGGGCCGGCTTCCTCTTCATCCTCAGCCACCTCTCCAAAAAACACAGCTGGATCCTCCCCGTGTTCGCCTGCGGTCTCGGCGCCCCCCGTTGGTGCCAGATCTGGTGGGGTGTCTCCGGCATCGGGTACTACCTCCCCTGGGTCGCAGGCGGGTACACGGGCGGCGCCCTGGCATCCCGCAGCGTCTGGCTGTGGCTGGGCGTTCTCGACGCAATCCAGGGCCTGGGCTTCGGTATGATCCTGCTACAGACCCTGACCCGCATGCACATGTGCTTCACCCTCATCGTGTGCCAAGTGCTGGGATCCATCGCCACGATCTGCGCCCGAGCCTTTGCGCCCAACAACGTCGGCCCGGGCCCTATCTCGCCCGATCCCACCTTTGGCGCGAGTGCCGTGGCGAACGCGTGGTTCTGGATCGGCCTGATCTTCCAGCTGCTCATCTGGTAAGTTCTTTGTTCTGTCTCTTTCCCTCGAACATGGCTGACATGGTTGCAGTGCTGGGTTCCTTCTCTTCTTCCGCAGAGAACAACTCTCCAAGCCCTAAGGCACTACCATTGCTCCTTAACGATTTGATTTTCCTTGTTGCTGGCATATTTTGCATATACATGCTTCCTGTATAGATACGACATTTTGCATATATAGATGTGTCATGATTACCTCGCTGGGTCTTTCCGATGTGGCTTGATGTCCGGAGTTCAACAACGTTTACATAATACTTAATCGCGTTTTACCAGATCCAGTAGCTCAATCCAGGAATAAGTCTCGTAGAAATGATGTGCACACAGTAAGAAATGAGTCGCTGTAGACTCGCCCGATATGATCTCACTTAAGTTAGGGTATTAATATGGTTGAGTACACTCTGTGCGGTCTATGAAGATCTTAGTAAGGATATAGCGGTATTGATCTAGATGAAGTGATAGAAGACAATATATCTGGAAGATGCCGTGGCCCTCTATGGTTTGCTTCCTTGTCCTAGCCACATGTACCACCTTATACTCTCTAGATAGCCAAGCCATTGTAAATAACTGCTGATTCTGTTCTCCGCAAGTGTTATCCATGCTTACCATCCTTGTGGACCGTAAGAGACATGGCAGTAGACCAAGGCTGGCCGAGTCTTGGCACAACCACCTACTAATCAACAATCAGTAGGCAAGAGAGCAGAGCTACTGCCTAACTCAAGCAAATCACTTACCTTACTGTTGCTCAGTGGACTAAAAATAGGGAGGACCGTTGCAGTATGCCAAGAGATGACAGCAGACTCGATTTAGCATAGCGGGACGAGCTTATTTGTCCGCAGCCAATCATTACATGCTAATCAATACAGCTAGGCCGATCTTGGCTGGTATATTACTGTTCTTCGCATTTTCGCATACCTCGTATTTCCTGCTGGTTAAGCATGAACAACTCCAGCGCAATAGGGAGCGGAATCATCTGGATGGACACGAATGAGACCAAATGCGAGTGCGAGTACGGGTATTGAACCACTGAATTGGAATTTTCAAGGCAGCAGCATTTACTATGGCGTTTGTTTTAGAGCACACAAGGGGAAATGGTGCCAGATGTCGACTATATATCTCCTATTCCATGTCCCATAGATGCCTCTAGGAATAACATCAACGTCAGTGCAAGGCTCTTACAATCGTCAACTAACTCAATCCTCTCCCGTCTTCTCTCAGTTGTCGACTTCATACACCATGGCCTCAGACAAGGACAACATCTACTTCTACAATCCCTCCCTCGGGGCATCCGTCCTCTTCACCATCATCTACATCATCCCCCTCACCTACCAGTCATACATGACATTCATCTTTCCCCGGAAAGCCCAAACCCCACGGACCAAGTACTTCATCCCGGCGGTCGTCGGCGCCGCCCTCGAAGTAGCCGGGTACGCGCTCCGCTGCGCCAGCGTCCAGAAACCAGCGGATATCTCCCTGTACGCCGTCTCCAACACCCTCATCGTCATCGCCCCGGTCTTCGTCTGCGCGAGTCTCTACATGCTTCTTGGAAAGCTGGAGGCTAGCTGCGCGGACGGGAGTGCCAAGAAACCCGCGAACTTTCTGCTTGGAGGTCCGGGTAGATGGCTGCCGTGGACGTTTTTGACGTTGGATATTCTTGCGGTCCTGACGCAGGGGTCTGGGAGTGGGATTGCGTCGTCGGGGAACTGGAAGGGGTCGACCAAGGACGCGGGGATTGGGGTGTTGATCGGGGGGTTGGTGTTGCAGGTTGTCACGTTTGCGGCGTACCTGGTTATTATGGTCTGGTTTCACTGGAGGGCGACGGTGGAGGGTCACCAGTTGTCGCATGGGGTGCAAATGGTCATGAGGGGGCTTTATATTGCTGGGTTCCTTGTTATGGTGAGTGCTGGCTTTACGTTTCCGAGGGAAGGCTACTGCTAACGGTAAAAGCTCCGCTCTATATATCGAGTGTTTGAATTTGCCTTTGGCATTGATTCGTACACGTTTACGCATGAATGGCCGTTGTATGTGCTCGAGGCTGTTCCCATGCTTGTCGCCTTGTTGGTCTTGGGCTGGTTCCATCCGGCACGGTGGTTGGCAAAGGCTGGGCTGGAGGGAGAGCAGATCTATTCTCTGCGCAAGTCGTCCACTCGACAAAACAACGAAGAGCAATCCCTGGCTTGAAGATATGGGCAAGGCTGACATGGACCGGATTTTGTAGATCTCGCTACTTTGCGTTAAACGGAGGGCAGTTGGCAATGCAAACATTCCTTTGCAATGATGTCTATGAATTTGGTTGTGATTATTGCGCTATTTTCTCACAAGCTGTTATTAGATCACATGCATGTACTGCTCATACTATTGCATCAAGGAGTTCATTCTATTACCCGAACCCCTCCGGGCTCTGGGCACCCTAACCACGCGGTCGTCTCCAAGTCAAAGAACTGGCCATGCAGATTGGGAATTGCACCATCAGATCGCGTCCCGCGACTGCTTCTCGTAGTATTCCCATCTGCAGCTATGATTTGCATCGGTAACTCTATCAACACCCGTAACGAAGACGGTAGCTCGCGGTATATGGCATCGGCCCACTGATGTACGACCGAGTCTGCTGCTAGGAACGTGGTGCCGCTCAGCTGGCGCAGCCTGATATAAACCGGCTGCATAATGCGCTCGACGACAAGGAAATACATGAACAAAGCTCGCGAAACGTGGTTCGCAGGCGCGATGAACATTAGAAACTCCCGATTCTCGGCTTCGTACCACACGGCATAGATCCTGGTGAGGTTGACAAATGCTGTCCGGTCGGAGACTGCGAGGGCGGCAAGCGTCTCCCGTATCGCTCGAAAGAAGCAGTGATGTATGGTGCTTTGAAAGAGAGGTTGTAATCTATCTATTGCCGCGAGAAGGCTGTCGATCAGGAGGGGACTGCTGACGGGTTCGTTGGCGAGTGCCGAGGCTACCTCGGCCGCCTCCTCCTCTGTCTGGATATGGAACAGCTGGCTTGTTTTGTATCTGTCCATGATGCAGTTGGTGATGACTCCGCAGCCGCGGACCATGACTGCGAAGTCGACTAGGCCGTCTTGCATGTGGTATGCCTGGAACACAAGAGCATAGCATGTGGCCAGGATGACGTCCAGGTCGGTTGTTGTGCATTCTGGGCCTTTTCCTATCGCTGCCGATAACGCTTTCAATGCCTTGCCTCTGTGGATAATCGCCGTGGAGGAGTATTCCCATCCATTAGGCGAGACAAGGGAGTAGTGAGTAGCTCCTAGCGCGAGGATCGCGTGCATCAGATGGGGATACTACCGTGCAAGCATCAGCTATAAGCCCATGGGACCTCGGCAAGATAATCAATAATCACCTCGTGCGCATATTTGGGTACTTCGGTCGCCCATGTCTCCTCGCTCCCAAAGGGCAGATGCGGGCGCGCAACGACGAGGAAATGATGGAAGAATCGCAGGTCGTCGCCACTAAACGGACTGACAGCAAGTCCTTGTGAAGGTGACACCAGCTTGCCGCTCTGTGATGATGCTACCAAAGCATCTCGTCGCGACGCCTGTTGCTTCCCTACATCAACCCATTCCCGCACTTTGGATGGATAGACACATTCCATGTCTCGATACATGCAGTTCTCGCATGCCGGCTTGGTTTCTTGACACTGCACTCGTTAGTGAACGTCGTCCCCGAAATCCGTGGATCATACGTACCTTTACCCTCCTTGCTCTGCAGTTGTAGCAACCCCAGCGAGACTTGGTATGTGGTCGTTTCTGTCTCTGATTAGTCATGGTTTTTCCTTGCTCTCCCGCTTGCAACTTCCGCCGATCTGGCAACTCGGCCTTATTTGAAGCCTCAAGTTCTGGAGACAAGGCCGAAGTTCTGGCCCTTGCTTTTACTTGAATATCCATTGAGGGTATACTATATATCAAATAAATGATGATACAGATGGAATACTAATGAACGCGTCGAGATCAGCATATTTGATGAAGAAGATCGTTGATGTAATCCAGGCAGCAATCGAATTGGGCGAATACGAGCTTCCTCGGCCTCCCACCAATAATAAATAATAACAATGAATAAGCAGCTGTGACTCCTTTGACTCATCGAAGCCGTCATTTCTTGGCTTTCCCAATGCTACGGTGAAGACAGCTTAGCTGTATATCAACTTGAAAAGAGGTCCAAATTCGTGTGCTCTATCAAAAGACTCGTACCTGAAATTGACACAACTGACCAATCCATTAAATTCGCCTCCCCTGTTCAACGAATTCCATTTCCTTCCCCGTTATGAGACTGCAGCCCCTGTCCTGACAACCGAAACCGCTCCCTCGAGCTTCATCGGTGGCTCGATATCATCCAGACAACGGGCTGTGAACTCGTTTGCTTCTGTGGTGAACGCATCCCGGAAGCGACCGTAATATTATGGGAGAGTTTTTCGACCTATACCCGTCCGCTCGAAGAGGTTGACGAGACCCCCGGCAGGCTGAGGATTGACCGCGAGCTTGCTTTGGTGCCATGATCTCAGTACCTAGCCGGGGTCAGATACTGCCTCATGAAGTTCAGGAGCACAAGGGGACCTAAGAGGGCACTTACTGTCCTCCTGTCCCGCAGCCATCATGGGAGCGATGGAATTCGGACTGGAGGCCTGAGAGACTGAAATTGAGACGAAAGTCGACGGTCTACCTTGGCAATGAGCTACATGGGTCTTTCAAAAGGCTGCTTCGATGACATCCAGCACCTTTACCATCTTCTCCCTACACGTCATACAAGATATGGATCCATTTCACAAACTCCCGAACCAGATCGTCCTTCAGATCCTAAGTCATACTGTCAAATGTCCCCTGTGGTCAACGACGTGTTCAACTATTTCTATGCGGAGATCACAGAGGCAGTGTTGATGTCTTGTCCAATGACCGGCCATGGGATTGATGAAAATATCAAGTTCGTGGTCGCCATATACTCAGGAAAGACCTTCACGCCATCGACAATCCTCAACTTTCTTCTCGCCATTGAACTGCGTAACTGAATTACAGCTCAGCTGAATGTGGATGTTCTGTATTTGAGCTTATGGAAGGTCGGACGATTGCGATGTTGCAGACGCGGTCGTGAAGAAATGCAGTCCTGTTGCAGGGGCTTAAATGAGTTGAAGCCATGCAGACAGCAATAGTTTCTGACTCCTTATGCTTCAATCTTTTTAGACTGGATAGTATCAATTATGATATCAGCTGCTGTGGACAGAGCCGTTGCAGTTGTGGAAGTGGGATTGTTCTGTACCACGTAAGGTGTTCTATGTTATATCAAGACTGGCTGTCTGGCAACATGTCGAAAACAAGTGCAAGATAGGAATGACCATCCCAAGATCGTCCAAAACCTTCATCTGACCCTTACATGGTGTCCTCCAGGAAAGAGCGGTGAAGCTCGATTTTCAAGCAACGATGCTCTTCGGTATACGGAGAAGACTGGAACCCCCAAGTCCAAATCCAAACCATTGCCAGAGAGTACAAGAAGATGGTCAGTCATCCTTGCAGGTGCCACGTCAACACACCCGCCAGTACCAAACCTCAAAATACCCCACGGTCATAGCGATTACCAACCGCGCAATATTAATCCCCACCATGGAAGTCGACGCCGAAACACTTTTCAATGCGCTCGGAGAGCGTTATGAAGACGCCTATGCCGATAGTCCCGGGCTGCTCGAAGTCACCGAATATGTGGTGAGCAAGCTTCCACGCAGCAGCCATGTCCTCGACGTGGGTTGCGGAACCGGCAAACCGGTCGCTGCAGCGATCGCATCGGCCGGTCACACCGTCTACGGCATTGACGTTGCTGAGAACATGGTGAGAATTGCAGCCAGCCAAGTTCCAGGGACATTCTTGAAGGCCGATATGCGAACCTACACTCCTCCGGTCAAAATGGACGCTGTGTTTGCAATCTACTCTCTCTATCAGATCCGACCAAGCGATGTTCATAAAATGATGTATCGGTTCGCTGAGTGGTTGAAGGGGGATGGGATTCTGGTCCTTGGTGTGTCGCCTTCCTCGGCCCTTGTGGGAGGAAAAGGCGTACATGACCCCGTCTGGGATTGTACGAGGTCTAAAGTGACGTGGATGGAGCGGCCGGTGTTCGAGCTGTACTTTTCCCAGACGGCTTGGTTGAATCTATTCCGCGAAGCTGGTTTTGCCATTGAGTTGGAGAAAATGTTCGACTACATATCCAAGGATCCTAAGCATACGCGTTCTGAGACTCATTATCTGATCGTCGGGAGGAAATCGGTGTCACATCCGTTGCTGGGACCGTATCCTTTGCCTGAATGCCTTCCGGGAAAGTCAATGCGCAACGAGTCGGCTTGGAGACGGCTGCAGGGCCACCTATTCTTGAAGGACGATGAGAGGATGAAGCTGTCCTCTATGCTGGAGGGCCATCAAAGGATACTGGATATTGGTCAGGGGTTGAAAGGTGAGCTATGAATGCATTTTTCCTCGCTATATACTGGCTTCTGACCCTCGCAGACTTCCTTGGCAAGGCATCAGCAAGGAATAAGTCTGTAGAGACTTTGCCTACCCCTTTCAACAACCTCCCGTACCCAGATGCCCAGTTTGATGCCGTCATTGTAACCATGATTCTCGACTATGTTGACGATCTCCGCGATTTCTTGCTAGAAGCCGTCCGCGTGATTGACAAGTCCTCATCGAATGCGCGGATCATTCTAATCCAGGGTGCACCATATAATGAAGTCCAGAAATTGATGAACACCGTGTGTACTCCATTGAGCTGCAAGAACACGGGAACAGCCCACCAGGGCCTGCTTCTTCACTCTGCTATGAAGATACTGGCGGAGATCGGATTCGGGGGGACTTCCCTCCGTCCTCTAAGTACTTCGTATTCCTTTGACGAGAATAGTTCATCTAATCGGAGCAACGCACTCGTCGAGATGTTGCCCAATGTCTGGTTTCCTGGCGAGAAAAAGCATGAGCAGATGAAGCGGGAGTTGGCATTCCCAATAGAGAAGCTTCTGCATGACCATCCCGGTTTCCTTCAGAATGAATTAGTGATTCTGGAAGCTGTCTTGGATGATCATTAACTCTATACGTGTACAGTTGAGAAAATACCCTTATTATGGTTTGAAGAGGACTGCTTCATTATCTAAAGCAGTAATTGAACGGTGGGTTACATCCATGAAGGTTGCAATGTGTCTTCAAATTCCTTGTAAAATCTTGGGCATTGAAAGCTATTCCCGGAATTGAGGCATGAAACATAGTTTCGACACAGGTCACGATCAATCAGCTCTTTCAAAGGGTATCATAGGACAAAATAGCCAAGTCTCTTAAGCAACTGAGCAAGGTCCATCTCCATAAATATCCTTCAACAGGCAGGCAACAGGACCAAATATTCACAAAAATAACAAGCCAGATCAAGGGTATCAAATCGAGTTGACAAGCAACAAATGTCTTCCTCGCCAATCCACGAAAGCAAAGTCTATACAATAACTGCAAGGTTAACACATGTTTCAACTGCTCGGAGACTTCGTCTCAGGACGACTGCATCTCCTCATGTTGTCTCATCACAACACGGATCTCATTTTGGCAAAAGGGCGCATATTGACCAGATATCCATGAAGCGTGCTGGATGGCACTGCTTCAAGTTTTGGACGGTTTGTCTCGGCAAAACACTCGAGAATCTCATTCTCCTCAAACAAGTAAGCAAAGAGGAATGGGGTATGCCCATGCACATTCTCAGTGCGTGGGTTTGCCCCAGCCTGCACAAGTAGGCGGGCCAAAGACACTGACCGCAGCACGACCGCAAAATGTAGGGGGGTGAGTCCATCGTTGTCTTTAATATTCACATCTGCTCCTCTCTGTATGAGGAGGCGCACCATCTCCTCTTGTCCTGCTTGTACAGCAATATGGAGGGGAGTGCATCCTTTTGCATCTACAGCATTTATAGCATCCCCATGTTCAATGAATGTAAGAGCAAAGTTAGGATATCCGAACTCCGCTGCGTCGTGGAGAGCAGTGCGCTCTTGACAAATCTGCTTCTCAGGCTTTTCGGGCTCCTCAGCCCTGGTGCTGTGGTCGAGATTGCTCTGCTTCATAAACTTCTCAAGTTCTTGTGGGTTGGTCTGGTAGGAGAGTCTTTCCTTGAATCTGGACTGCATGGTGACTGTGTGAGAAGCTCTTTGCGACGGTGTTGCGTTGGGGTATCACTTGATTGATGAGGCGTACGACGGCGAACGAGCAAGTAGAGAGTACTGAGAAGAGAGGAGAGAAAGAGAACGGCAGGGGACATTCTCAGTCATCTCTTCCTGGGGATGCGCGACTCACAGTGACGTATACTGGTGACATATTGATGACAGCGTCATGTGATATCATTTACCCTATATCAGGAGTTCCAGCATAGCAGATAATCCGGGCCTCAGGTGTCAGGCATCTAAGTGAGTGCTGGCTGCCTTTACCTCACGCAGCCTGGACTAGGGCCATCAAACTGATCAGCCACCTTCTTACGGTGGCTTTGTTTTCAACTCTGTAGAAAAAGCAGAATGGGGTCAGAATATGAAGATATTTTTTGTTAATTCATTACTATGTAAAAGTATGTTTACTATCATATAAATAGTAGGAGTAATCTACTAGGTGAGATTATATAATTAGATCTCTACTATACTAAGTATAGCTATATACCCCTAGATTTAATTAATAAGATTATAGCTACTTCCTAATTAGGTAGTTAATCTATAATTATAGTATTAAGATCTATTATTTATAGTACTCTACTAGGCTAAGCCTAGTATCTTAAATAATTAATTAAACTTTAGATAACTAAGTAGCTTTATTATAAGATCTATAATTATCTTATCTATTAAAAGATATTATAAGAAGACCTAATTCTTAACTATTATATTTTTAATCTAATAATAATTAATATTAATATACTTACTATATACATAGAATTAAGTATTATAGGCTAGATCTATAGTAGGCTAGCTATTAGTATTAATTTATATAGAGTATATATTATTAAAGCTAATATCTTTTAGAAGATAGATAAGCTAGATAGCTTTCTTTATAATATAAATAATAATAGTATATTCTATCTTATATATAGATAAAAAGATAACTAATTATAGCTTAGAAGCCTATAAGATAGGTCTATTACTAAATATAAAGATATATATAGTAATTAAATAATATATATTAATATATCCTATATAATTTATATTAATATAGCTAATAACTATATCTAGCTTACTTATAAGATCTCTTATATTATAAAGCTTATAGATAATTCTAATATTTAGGGTCTAATAGAAGAATCTAATAAGATAAATAAGATATTTAAAATATAATTTATTAGAATTTATAGTATATCTAGCTAGCTTCCTAATAGTAAAGGAAGTATCTAGCCTAGTATATAATATTAGATATATAACTAAGCTAACTCCTACTCTACATCTCTTTTTAGGTTTAAGATTATATTTAATAGACTTATTTAATTTAATTAGCTAAGCATCTTCTTCTATAGATATTACTATAGTTTTAACTAAATATAAATTAGATATATTAATAAAATATTAAAGGTAAGTATATTAAGATAGCTTAATATATCTTTTTTTAATATCTAGGTCTATCTTTATGCCTAGATAATAGCTAGCTAGGCTAATAAATAAAATATTAAATAATTTACTAATAGCCTTATACACCCTCTTAGTAATCTACTTAGAGGGTCTAGTAATCTCTATATTATTAATATATAAAATAAAAAATATACTATAACTATTAAAGAAGAAATATTTATTAATCTTAGATAGCTATAATCTAATCTTAGTAACTCCACTATAGAAGATAAAATACTAGATATATATAGACTACTTTAATCTATATAAAGAAAGTAATAGTCTATATATATAGCTAGACTTATTATTAAAATCTTATAGCTACTTTATATAGATAACTATATTATTAAAAAATTTACCCTATAGAAAAGTAAGCTTAATATCTACCTTAATATAATAATAGCCTAAGATAGCTATAAGTATAAAGAATAAGTAGATAGTAGCTAGCTTTATAGTAGAAGAAAATATCTAGTTAAAGTCTACTCTAGGTATTTAGATATAGTCTTTAGTAATCTATCTTATCTTAAATTAGATAATCTTATTATTAGTACTAATCTTAATCTTATAGATCTAATACCTCTTAATAACCTTATAGCTAGAAGATAGGGCCTTAAGTACCTAGATACCTTACTTAATAAGATTATCTACTTTAATTTTTATAATATTCTACTAATTATCTACTTTAGGAGAGTTAATTACTTTATAGAAAAAAAAAAGGCTTATTAGTATAGGAAGTTAATATCCTTAGTAATACTAGGACCTACCTCTATATATATTTATAGTATAGGGATGCTGTCCTCTAGTCTAGGTAGATTAGATATAATTAGATCTTAGCCTTTAATAATATCTTATTTAGAATTATTATTACTAATAACCTTATTTAGATTATAGTTAGCAGGTAGAATAGCTAGTAGATTAATAAATTTTCTATAATTATTATCTAGATCTCTATAAAGATCTAGATTACTTCCTTCTTTAAAAATAATATTATAGGTATATTTAACTTTATTAGTTATTAGTATCTAAATAATATATTACTTACCTAGGCTAGTATAGCTAACTAGATAGTAATAAATAGTATATAGATTAATCTTTATAATACCCTGCTTAGATTTAATCTTATTAATAATAATAAGATATCTAACTAAATTTAAAATCTATAGAGAGCTAATATCTAGATATTTACTAAAGTATATTTTATATAGAGTTATATTCTTACCTTAAATAGGTAAGATATTATTAATTAAAATAACTCCCTTTATAATTTTATCCTATAGTTTATATAGAATAGTCTTATTATTAATAATAGCATAAACCTTTATTAGAATAGTATATATAAGATATTCTATAATAGGATTCTAACTATAAGTATATAATACTATAAATTCCTACTTAATAGATTTAGCTCTAGCCTATACTTAATTCTCTTTCTTAATAAATTTTTCTATTATTATTAATATAAATAATCTATACCTTAAATTCCTTAATACCTATATATGTGTCATACCCTGGGATCTATCTCTGCTGTTCTCTACTAGTTAACTACTTTAGGAATGGGGTGATATAGTCCCTGGACTATATCTAATACTTACCTAAGGCCTACCCTCTGTGGTAGCCTGCTATATACTAACCTAGGTATATAGTAATATGTGATGTAATGATCTAACTAGGATCTAATATAATCTAAAGGTATAATAATCTTATTTAAGATTAAGAATAATAAGAATAATAATAGTAGAGATAGAAGTAAGGCCTATTAAGGATATATCCTTAATAGTAAAATAGTATCTAATAAATTAGACTAGTGAACTTATACTTAAGTAATTAACTTATATTAAATATAAAGAACTAAACTAAGAGTACTAGATATAATAGTAATAAGTATCCTTATATAGTTCCCCCTATTATAGCAGTGCTATGATATTTTATATTACTAATCTATCTAGATTATATCCTTAGTCTAATCTAATTATAGCCATCTCTAATCTAATTATAGCCTAGCTATATTTTATATAATATATTACATCTTCCTATTAGACACTACTAAGGTTTTAGTCCTCCTTAGGGTGACTAGCTATCATTCTCCCTTTAGTTCTGCCTATCATATCTACCTAACTATATTAGTATTATAACATTACCCCCCCCTCTCCTAGCATTTCATCCTTAAAACACTTTATAAGGCTAGAAATTCCTCCTAGTAGGTGTCTTTTCTTTTCATTATACTTTTATTCCTTTATTACTAACCATATCTTCTAGGGCATCTATTAAGAAGAATTATCTATATTAGTATATTAAAGAGGAAGGGTATTATTCCCTTTTCCCTTATAATTATTATATATATCTTTATAAAATCTATTTTAAATCTAATAACTCTAATTATTATAACAAGTATATTTGTGCTAGGAATTTAAAGTATATAATATTAAAACTATCTTTTTCTAATAATAAGTAGTATTATTTAGTTAAACTATAGTAGACTATTACTAAAGAGTATTATGCTACTCTTATAAAGGTAATGCATCTTAAATATTAAGAGGCTCTGCTCTATAGTTATACTAGTGACTTTATTACTTATAAATATAAGGAGGTTACTAAGTTAGAAGAATTAGAATACTATAAAAAAGAAGAGCTTAAATATCTTAAACATGAGCATGTTAAATTTAAATAAAAAGAATATGAAGCAGAGAGTGCTTAGGCTATGACTAAGGTTCCTCACTCTACTGAAATGGCCTATAGCCATGCTCTTATGGCCACGTCAGAGAATCCTACTCTGAGTTTGTGGAAATATTCATTCAACCAGTGTCCGCATCTTTAACACTATAGAGGGTGTCTGTTATATCTAGATATATGCTCATCCCATGACTCTACTTAGGTCTAGTATTCTAGATTCTAGTAGATATATCCTTTTATTCCTTATTTAACTTTCTTAAGGATCTGCATATTTAGCTAGTATACTTATAGTTCTACTAACTACTTCTTATCTAGCTATTATAGCTATATGGTATATTAATCTACTTTATTATTATCTTTTAGGGGGTTATCTTAAGGTATCTTAGGAATCCTATAGGACTACTCCTTATTAGGATTAAGGCTTACCTACTAAGTTCTATACTCTTTATTAAGTAGATTAATAGGTTAATTAATTATAGTCTAATCTATTATAGGAAAATCTACTTAATCTAGCTCTTTATAATTAGTCTTTTCTTTATTAGAACTAATAATCTAATCTTTAGTAAGTATTATTAACCTATAAATAGCTTCTTTAGGTATAATATTTTCCTACTTAATAGGACTATATTTATTACTAGTTAATAAATCTTAATTAGTAGCTATAAGTATACTAGGATTTTTAATAAGCTAATTACTTTATATACTTCTATACTTAATAGAGTCTTCCTCTTAAAGCTCCTACTTAATTTTATTATTATTAAGAGTTATATATTTTTTATATAATTTTCTTAGCTACTTATTACTCTTTTTTTTAACTATAATAGTACTAGTTATATTATAAGCTTCTCTAATAGTATAGAATTCTACTATTACCCTAA